CCTCTCCCATAGATTCCAAAAATAACCCTCTGATCCTTTCTGGCTTCCGTCATGACTGTTGACATTGCCTGGCCCCTTGCTTACCCATAAGATTACAGAACAAGAAATGTTAAAACCTCTGTGAAAAGTTCTAGTTGGTCAGAAAGATGTATGAATGAATGGTATTCCAGTTCACATTTTATTGTCACAGAAGAGATTTCAACTGTTCCACCATTGGCTCTTGCTTAGTTTTTGCCCTGTTTCCAGTTACTGCCCTTTACCAATCCTGTGTTCTAGCCATATCTATCTATTCACCCTCTGTAGTGCTGCCATTTAGTTTCACTGTTCTGCTTGCTCATGCTGCCTTCTGTTCATGTAATGTCCCCTCTTTGCTTTGCCATCCTTTAAAGCCAGATGCTTAGGTGGTCTGCTCTGTGGAGACATACCTGGTTTCCTCCAATGATGAGGCAGAATCTGTGACTCCTTAATGGTCCTCACACAGTCATTGGAAAGGATCTCTATCATAGCATTCATCAGAGTGTGTTTAGGCGAGGTATGTTTGAACCTGTCTGCTCTGCTAGACTCTGAGTTTACTGAGGAGTGGGACATACCTTACTTTTTGTAAACCCAGAGCCTCCACAGTGCCTGGAACACCACACTGACTTAAATCAGTTTTGTTAGGTGAACCCAATTAGTGTCATTGACATTATTTTCTAGTAATAAGATTAGTTTTGTGTGTGTTTGTTCTTTTTTTTTTTTTTAAAGATTTTATTTATTTATTTGACAGAGAGATAGAGAGACAGCACAAGTAGGCAGAGTGGCAGGCAGAGGGAGAGGGAGAAGCAGACTCCCCGCTGAGCCAGGAGCCCGACGTGGGGCTCGATCCCAGGACCCCGGGATCATGACCTGAGCCGAAGGCAGCGGCTTAACCGACTGAGCCACCCAGGCGCCCCTTGTGTATGTTCTTTTTTATTTATTTTTTTTACTGAAGTAGAGTTGACACACAAAGTTAACGTTAATTGCAGGTGTACAACATGGGGATTCAACAAGTCTATATGTTATGCTGTGCACACCACAGGTGTAACTGACATTTGTCACCATGTAATGTTGTTACAACACCATTGACTACATTTCCTATGCTGTATTTTTATCCCTGTGACTTATTTTTTCCGTAACTGGAAGCCTGTTATAAGACTAATTTTAACTTCTTGATTAGAAAACAGATACTTAACAATTGCATACTTATTTTGCTTTTCTATTATGACTTATCTCATAACATGTATTCAAAACTATACTAAATAGGCATGGCTGAATAGGCAAAGAGCATGTTTAACTAAATTTGCCACAAAATTAAACTTCTTTCTTGTCTGGCAGTTCTCTGAGAATTATCTGGGTGTGAATAATATTTTTTCATGTAGCTCATCATGGCCAGCAAAATTAAATATTTTAATTAACATTTGTAATCAGCTTTTCCTATTCTTGGGTCTAGTGGTTTATATTCATTTAAGCAAATTGAATTTTAAAGATAAGTTAAACACAGCCTTTACAAAGCCAACTTCAGATTGATTTTCTTTTCTCTAATGTCATATACTTTATCAATTTACATTTCCATCATTCATTTATTTGTTCACTCATTTAATAAATCACATGTGTATTGAAAGCTAATAACCATCATTTCTGGATAGGTCTGGAATTTGCTCAAGTCAGGGTGATGGGCCTTTCTGGAAAACAGTGTGCTTTAATTTTTAAAATCACAATGAGACAGAAATCTCAGGATATCAAGAGACGCAGACTAGACAAAATGGTTTTACTATTCATTTATTTTCTGATCAAATAGTTTAAGCAATATTCATAAGTTAATTGATTAGAACTTCTTCTGGTCCTCTGTCTAAGGGTGAAATTATTCAGTTGTTCCAATAGGTCCAGGCTCCAGTTTATCATTATTCTTTTAATGACTGAGATTAAAAAGTGATGATGTCTTACCTTGCAGACAAGTTAAATACTTTATAGGCTTAGGGGCTCTTTTTATAAGGGGATAGGCTTTGACTCCTTTTTCTGAGGGTAGAAATTATGGGTCTTTCGATGACATTCAAACATAATTTTTTTAACTCACCTGCGACACTTCAGAGAAAATTTATCTCTTTTTAAACATAAGAGCAAGCAATTTCTAGGAATATAGAGACTATTTGGTGTTTTCTTTCTTTTTTTCTTTTTTCTTTTTTTTAAGAATTTATTTATTTATTTGTCAGAAAGAGAGAGAGAGAGGACAGGCAAGGGGAATGGCAGGCAGAGGGAGAAGCAGGCTCCCCACTGAGCAGGGAGCCCAATACTGAATTTGATCCCAGGACCCTGGGATCATGACTGAGCTGAAGACAGATGCTTAACCGACTGAGCCACCCAGGTGCCCCAGTGTTCTTTCTTATTGCAATATGCAGTCTCTAGTTTTGGAAAAAGACACACAGACCTTAAGGCAGCTTGTTTAGCACAATAGATACAGTTTATATAGTCTGCTAATGTCACCAGCTTCCCACAAAAAGGAGACTTTTATCCAGTGGTGCTGTTGGTGTTTTTTTTCAGGTCTCTTGGAAGAGATTTTTCTTAAGGATTTGCCTTGGACAGGGATACAAACCCAAGTAATACATGGTTCTTTCTGTCAAGTAGTTTATAATTTAACCAGAAAAACACACAACCAATGATTACAAATAAATGCGACAAATTCTTCTGAGTAACTAATTTACTAGGATAGATGATATTATTTTATTTTTAAATGATTTTCAAGGCTGATGTAAAGTGCTCTCCTAGAGAGTAATAGTCTATGAACTCTAATTTGGACATACTTTTTAATAAGCTTTGTTTCCTAATTTCTGTGGGAGCTATAAGTTAAATTCTGATAACAAGATTGGAAAAACTGATTAAAGACACCATAAATGAATTTCAGAAATCTAGCTCTCAGGGTCAATTTGCTGTGTGAGTGAAAAACCAGAAGTGACCCCCAACAACATCACTGTATTATAATAATCATTGTTCAGAGCTTGGGGCTTTGTAGTTCAGACAGATGGGGATTCAATTTCTGGCTCACTATTAATTGTGTGATCTTAGATAAGTTACTTAACTGCTCTAAGTATCATTTCTTCACCTGTGCGATGCCTCAGAAATTATTTTGAAGACTAAAAGACATTTATGATTGTTAAAGTTAACAGTATAGTGCCTGGTACCTAACAAGCCCTAAAAATATATTTGCTATCTTTATGTTACTGTGATAATGCCCCTGAATCAGTTTTAAAATATTTTAAACAATTTACAATGTATCTATTCAAGGAAGTGTCGAAATGAAAGGGAGTGAAATAAAGGTGTTACAAAGGGATCATGACAGGGCCCTGAGACTTCAGAAAGAGTGGCCATCCATCTAATCCTCAACCGTGACAGGCCAGACACTCAGTTTGTCAGTGTCTTTTAAAATGGACTCATCAGGATCAGGGGATATCTCCTACTTTGGGCTCATTGATAGTGGAGACAATGCTATTTGTAATTACAATTCACCAGCCAGAGCACTTTTTTCTCCTATTTTATATCCTAGAGAATTCAGTCATTAGCTTTTTGCACAGTGAGCACAGAAGCAAATCAGAGGTAATTACATTGTCTTGTGGAATTTTTTATTCAAGTTTCTTAAAAGCCCAAGACCTCCCGACCAAGAAGAGTACACCTTTTTAATAACTAGCGTACTTCAGGGTCTCTTTACTTTGGTCATCCTGAGTAAAAAATCTTCCCAATCTTTTGCTCTTTTTCACTGTTCTTTTTTTCAGTATTCTATGAAGACCACCATACTAGCTTCCTATTACAGCTCTAACAAATTACCTCAAACTTAGAGGCTTAAAACAATGTACATCTCACAGTTCTAGAGGTCAGAAGTCTGAATAGATCTCACTGGGCTGCAGTCTAGGTGTTGTCAGGGCTGTGTTTTCTTCTGAAGGCTCTAGGAGACAATCTGTTTCCTGGCTTTTCCAGCTTCTAGAAGCTGCCTGTATTCCTTGGTTCCTGGTCCCCTCCCATCTTCAAAGCCAGCGGAGTAACATTGCAAACCAGTCTGTCTCTTTCTCTGTTTTTGCCTCTCTGTCTCTCTGTCCGATTCCCTGGCCACTTTCTTTCACTTATAATGATCCTTGTTATTGCACTGGGCCTGCCTTGATAATGCTTGGTTATCTACCTCACCCATCTCCCCATCAAGATTCTTAACTTAATCACATTTGTACAATCTCTTTTGTGTGTCAGGTAACATGTTCACAAGTTCTGGGGATCAGAGGGTGGATGTTTTGCCAGAAGCATTATTCTGTCTACCACAACTACCTAGTCTTTCTGTGGGCGAGGCAATACTACTGATTGCATAATGACATTTTTCACATTTAACAATGCTATAATTAGATTTCCAGACTGCTCTGTAAGCATTGATTTGGGAGAAATCTAGTCCTTTAGGCAGATTTCTGTAATAACTCATCTTATTCCTTATATGGTTATAACCTTATAGGTTAATGTTATATTGAAGTTCAAGTACTTCTTTTACTTACCAACTAGAAATCAGAAGATGAGGTCATATATTTCAAAGATTTCCATCTGTAGGAATGAGAATTTCTTTTCTAAAGTTTACCTTTTAAAGTTGCAAGTTTCATTTACCTGGGGAATTCACTTGCATGGAATTGCTCATTTTCTAAGGATGCTAATTCATTACTTATTACTGTAGCACATATCTGAGTTTCTTAAATTTTAGCAAGTACTTCAATCTGACTCCTCATTTAGATGTACTCATGCTTTTCACTGTCTATTTAGGTAAATTATACAATAAATCTTCCTTTTTGAGGGTGTTCCAATGTGTTTGCATTGACCTGATGAGATATAATAGGTACTGTTATTATAGGATACTGTATTAAACAGCAAAATATAAAGGCAGAATGAGCATCTTTGACCCAGGAGTGACTTCTAGATGGCATGTAGGCAATATTTTATTGCATTATCTATTCATTTTATAGGTCCTGTACTCATGAATAAATTGCAATAGCAGGGAAGCATGATCATGACAAGGTAAGAAAACTGGGAGAAAGGGCTCAGAAGAAAGAAAAGAAGTATTTTTTTGTGTGTGTATGTGCTTTGGACAAGCCCTTTGAATAAGTAAAAATTATCTACATGAAGTCTTAGACAAACAGCTTTACATCATATTAGATAATTTAGCTAATTGAAAATATGGCTAGAAAAATAACATTAATTTTAAATTGTATTTTGAATGTCAAGATAGTAAGTGCATTCTTTTGCATTCCATTATATACTTGAAGACTATTTTATCCAATTAAATACTCTTAAAATTTGTAATCTTAGGCCAAGGTCTGCCTACCAAGTTAATCAAAGAAACAGATTTTGTAGGAATCCCTTTCACAGAAGGCTAATTTTCAAAGATATATGGCTCCATACTGTCTTCTAGTAGATGTATTGCTTTTAGAAGTTGTACTAACTCTTCTGGGCCATTAAGCTAATGCATAACATTTTATGGATACTGTGTCTGAGAAATTATATATAAGTTGGGAACCTATTTATAATATCTATTCTTTCTTCACTAAAATAACTTTGGAGCTTTATGAGGTAACTCAAGGCTGGTGGCTGGAGAGATAATATTGATAGAATGAAGTAGCTAATGTAGGAATGTCTTGCTTGCTTCCCATATCCCAGTTAGTCACTATCATAATTTTGTAAGGTATGAGCTGGTAGCCCCATTTTCCAGGTAAGAAAATTGAGTTTCTAGGTGTTCTAGATACTTTACTCCAAATATTCTAGATTTTGTCCCATGTTCAAAGTATCAAAATTTTGTCTATGGTAACTCATGAATGTTAGTTTCCTAGGCTGTTGTAACAAAGTACCACAGATTGGGTAGCTTAAAACAACAGAAATTTGTTCTCTTAGATTTCTGGGGAAGTCCGAAATCAAGGTACCTGGAGTGCCGTTCTCCCTCTCTGAGGCTCTTGAGTAGACTCTTTCCTTGCCTTTTCCTATCTGATTCTGGTTGTCAGCCCGTGGCTTTCCTTGGCTTGCAATGGCAGTACTTTAATCTCTGCCTGGGTCATCACATGGCATTTCTCCTGTGTGTCTGTGTGTCTTCACATGACATTCTTCCTGTCCTCTTCTTATAAGGATACTAGTCATATCAGAATAAGAGTGTACCCTACTCCACTATGACTTCATCTTATCTAATTACATTGGTAACAACCCTGTTGCCAAACAAATTAGTATTCTGAAGTCCTAGGGGTTAGAATTGCAATGTATCTTATTTGGGGGACACAATTCAACCCATAACACCATGTGTACCACATTTGGAAGAACATAGATTTTTGTAAATTGTGTTTTTTGACATTAGGTTCTTAGCTTTGTACCAAGGATGTCACAACTAATGATTATATGAAAATAATTATTGTACTTTTTTTTTTAAAGATTTTATTTATTTATTTGACAGAGATAGAGATAGTGAGAGCAGGAACACAAGCAGGGGGAGTGGGAGAGGGAGAAGCAGGCTTCCTGCTGAGCTGGGAGCCCGATGTGGGACTCGATCCCAGGACCCTGGGATCATGACCCGAGCTGAAGGCAGTCGCTTAACCAACTGAGCCACCCAGGCGCCCATTTTGTACTTTTTATAAGTAAGTGTTTCTCCAAATTTCTTCCAAGAAATACTCTTTTTAGGGTGCTCTAAGAAAAATGGAATGTGTTATCAAATGATTGTGGGATATACTAAATATTATTCTACATTTTAATCACTGTTCTTGGAGACCTAGTGACCCTTGGGATGTTAAAGTCACTTGGAAGTCCTGGGTAAAGTCTGTTGAACCCACCTTAAGTTCCCTAAACATGTTTGATGTCAGAAACTATCATGTAACACTTGTTACTTTGTACAGCCATCTTGGAAGATGCCACATTTGTGGATCACAGCATATATGCCATTTTCCCTTTTCATTATGAACGTGGGCAGATGACTTAACCTTTGTATGCTTTGGTTTTCTCAACTGTAAAATGAGAATAATAATTGTAGTTATATCATAAAAATTATTGAGACTATTAAATAAGATGAAACAGGCAAAGAGCATGACCTAGTGTTCAGCCATGGAAAGAGCTCAATCAATGCATGTTTATCATTATTGTGATTAGTATTCTATTTAGTCAATATTTGTCACTAGACATTAATCCTGAGTGGTGCTGAGCTCCAACAAACAGAAGGCCGTACTTATTAGCTTGAACACAATTTCTATATAATTTACAGAGTAAAGAGATCTTACTTTTTATTCTCAAAGTGTTTACGTATTTTACCTGTTTCATTGCAATGTCTCAGGAAACGTAAAGAAAAAAAGGCTATATTAGAGTTGGTGTAATATGTGTAATAAGAGGGAATTGTGCAGCACATTTTAGAAAGAGATTTTTGGAGAATGGTTAAAATTAAGGTTTCTCATTAAGAATACTAGTCATTTTATTGTGCTATTAATAAAGTGATGCCCCAGGAGCAATTGAAATATACATATAAGGCTGAAGGAGCTTGCAATGAAAGCCCCAGAATCCTATGCTTTGGATTCTTGTGAGTTTTTTCCTATTGTCTTTTATGTCAGGCATTCAGCTGACAGTTTTGGTTTTTTCTCGGTTTCTCAGGCACTTTATTCTATCATTTATTCTAACCACTTGCTGTTTTAAAATATACTACAAACTAGAAAACTGGTAATGAAGGTTATTCCGTTGTTTCTAAAATAGTAAGATTGCCGAAAGCTTTTTTCTCCCTGCAGATTCTTTTTTGCTTTTTTGTTTTTAAAATAATTTATTTAATTGTAAGTTTATATAATTTAATGTTTAATAATGATTTTGCTTAACTGGCTTACAAAATTTCTGAAAATTCAACATTAGACTCTCACAGCATACCACATGTGTTAATATTTTTTAGTATAGTTGTTAATATTTTATAACTTTTTAAAATTTTAATTCCAGTGTAGTTAACATAACAGTGTTATATTAGTTTCAGGTGTACAACGTAGCGATTCAATAGTTCCATATACTACTCAGTTCTCATCAAGATATGCTGCAGATTCTTGAGCATATTTTTCTACATGGTTGAAATTGCTAGCTCAGTGACTTCTATCCAGTTGGTGAAATGTTCCTGTAGGTCCCTTAAAATGATTATTTTTGTGTAAGCTAAGGATAGTTCCCAAGCTGTCACTTCACCATTATTTCTTGGTCTCTGAATGCCCCTCTTTCCCCATCAATTCCTCATAATTTCTCCAAATGGGTGCTGACCTGGCTACAACCGTGCCTTTTACAGCTAAACTACTCTAGTCAGAAGCTTGTCTTCCTGCCCATTAGGGGATGCGAACTGCTCTTCCAGTACAGCTTTATACCAGATGATAGTTCTGTCTTGGAAGAGCTGCAGACATTGCTTGGGGGTCCCCCTTGGATATATAAAAATCTCACTTTATTCTTTGTCAGTCATTTTACTTAGAAGAATCATAACGCTGAAAGGATGATTAGAAATTTTCCATTCAGGTCTTTCTGATTGAAAAATCATACTAATTTCTCAACTGTTAACTATATTAAACCCTGTCTTTCTGTTTGTGTATATGTCATTTGAGGGGATTATTTTTTGTTGTTGTTAGTAAAGAATTATAGTTAAATGTAACGTATATACCAAGTATATATTATTGATTTTCAAAGGATTCATAGAACATAGAATGTATGGGCAACACTAAAAGTATGAGAGAGATTTCCTTTTTGTTTAATACTTAGGGATCATGTAGTGAGTCAAGGTTATAATTTTAACAACTATTTTATGATTATACTTAGAAGTATGGATTAGTATTTAATAGACTGCCAAGTAAAATCACTAGTCTATGCTAGTACTTTTCATATAGTGTTTCATTTAATCTTTCGTTGGCCGTATTATTTTGGCCTGTCTTGCAGATAACGAAGCTAAGGTTCAAGGACTTAACTTGCCTTTCACAGTGGATGGATGACAGGGCTGGGATTTGATCTCAGAGTTGCCTGAAACCTCAGCGTATGTGTTTCCTACTCTGCTGTACTACTTCTGATGACATAAGGGGAAAAAAAAAATCAGAGAAGAGGTGAGACCAGATTAGCTTCTGAAGCATGAGGATTCAGTGGGCCGTGAGTAGGAGAATATCCTTTGTGCGGAGAGTGGTGTGTGGGATAGAAAATCAGCAAGTCAGAGACCTAGGGTTATTTGTAGGACTTGAGGAGCATATTCTGATTATAATGGTAGGGTTTGATAGGAGAGAAATTTAGGTAGTGTTATCCTCAATAACAGACTGGAAAGTTTAAACTTGTTTCAGTAGGTGATGAAGAATTATTGAAGGATTTGATTCCAGGCTGATGGAATGTCATGATGAAAGTGTTGAATTAAAAAAAAAAATAATGTGGTGACTATACCAGGGTAATTGAAAAGATAGTCTTTGAAGCATTAAAATGAATAAGGAGTTTGTCATAGCAACTGAGAGGAGAATGATGAGAACCTAGACTAAGTTAATAAATTAGGAGATTTTTTTTTTTTAAGATTTTATTTATTTATTTGACAGAGAGAGAGACACAGCGAGAGAGGAAACACAAGCAGGGGGAGTGGGAAAGGGAGAAGCAGGCTTCCCGCGGAGCAGGGAGCCCTATGCGGGGCTCGATCCCAGGACCTGGAATCATGACCTGAGCTGAAGGCAGACGCTCAACGACTGAGCCACCCAGGCGCCCCTAGGAGATTTTTTGAAGGCAGTATCTTTTGAACTTGTTTGGGAATGAAAGAGTTGAATGAGAGAATGAAGATGCTGAAATTTAAGTTTTAAATAATTGGAAGGATTGTGATAATATTGATTGAAGTAAGGACAATGCAAAGCAGTACTTTTTTGAGGAAGAAAAAGTAATACATTTAGAAAATTATGGGATGATGATTGGAATATGAAATGGATATGTCTAGTGGGCTATTTAAGACAAATGGAACTGAACTCAAGTGTTTGCTGACGATTAAGGAGAAAAATTAGATAGTCATATATATACATTTAACATCCAAGATTTGTGTTCTTATATTTATTTAGTTGTTATGCTTAATTCAAACATTTAAATACCCAACTTGAGCTCTTAAAATTAACCTGAGAACAGAAACATTTGTAAATACAATATGTAAATTTAAGAATAAAAATAATGTGACAAGAAGCACAGATGGGATCTCCTTCACTGGAATCATAAATATTTTTTTTCAAAAATTGTACTTCAACTTTTTTTTTTGGTTAAAGTTGTCATTCCTTTAGATATTTATGCTCCTACATCCTTTTCTTAGATTTGATATTTTATAGATTCTGTTTGACTTAAGAGCAGAGCCATATCTTTCGATGCATAAAATTATGCTTTGAAGTTGAATATCCCAGCTGTATTTAACTCATGAAAGCTATCCATTATATACTTTGAGTACTGCACTGACTACCAAAAACTTGTCCCTTTTTTTACCTAAACTTGAGAACTGATATTCACTGTATATTCATCTCCTTATCTTTGGATGCTGTTCCAGTGTGGGAAGTGGAAGAGGAGTCCAGGGTACTATGAAGAAAGCAGAAATGTCTCAATCTAAAGGAGACATGATACATTTTTTTTTCATTAGCTGTAATTTTACAAAGAAATGCAAAATAGAAGTGTTAATCTCAAAGAAAGCAGGGCTGCCAAAATAACATGTCAGTCTTCTAGCATGGCCACCCCTTTCTTCTACTCTTGTCCAGTTCTCTCCAACCAATCTTTGTTATGAGAATGGCTCAGAGCATAAAGACATGCTTTGGGATGAGAAAAACTGTCTTATTGCTTGTTCTCTGGAGGAAACAGGGCAAGTCCTTCAAAATACTCATATCTAGAGTGATGATTGATCAGTTGATCACCACATTAACCTTGTCTGCCCTTAAGAAACTTTCTAGTTTTTTTCTTGCATTAGGATAAAACTGGATAACACCTTCTTCTTGGTAAGTAGGGCTATTTGAGTAAAGATCCTGAGAAGAAAACAGAAGAAAAGAAGAAGAATGACTCTAAGTAGCCGTGGCCACTCCTTCTACTCTTCTGTGATTATAAAGACCTGGCTGATCAGATCTTTGACCCTAAAGAAGAGCTCATTTTGCAAGTGATTTTGTTGTTTTAACCTAGGACCATGTGTGGGTGTTTTAAATCCTTTTTCTATTGTTGTTTTGGTTGGGCCAAAAGCTGGTATATTTGGTCATGAATATTAGATCTCAGGAGGTCGAAATCCAGATCTAAATTAAGAAGCCTCATGAAATATAAATTTAGAAAAATAAAACTGCAGTTATCTACTTTGACCTGTAATTTTTTTAGGCTTTTCAAAGCAGCTTTGTCCTAAGAAACCCAAAATATTTTACTTCAAACATTGCTGAATGAAGGTGAACTGTGATTATTATGAAACAAGAGAGGCATTTAGCGGCTGAAAGTCTGACCTAAATTCTTCTCAACATTTCAGGGAATGTTGAAAGTGAGATTGATTGAAGCTTCATTACTTTTATGTGACTTCAAACATGAAATTAAATGTAAAATGATAGAATGTTGAATGAGTGTGAGTTAGGAGATATCTTGAAATGCAAAACATGAGGATTTTATAAATTAGATACCCAATTACTTCATCTCATTAGTCCCCTGGGTGTCTGTCAAACTGGACAGCTCTTGAGGTCATTCAGCTTATTTCCTCTTCTGGATTCTATCTTCTTAGGCGGGAGACAAAATTTGGATCATATTCAAGGACATGCTGATGTTCTAGGAGAAACTCTATACAGGGTTTATACAATTAGTGCCCCATTAAAGAATGATGCATAGATTATAATACAGAAAGATAAAATGTCATACTTATTTGTCTTCTTGGCAATGTCAGGCCCATGTAGATCTTGTTTGTGTCACTAGGCAAAATTTTCTCATTGGTAATCTAAAAATTTTGTACTTATGACCTTTATAGAGAGAAATAGTAACAAGACATGAAATATAATGTAATGAGAACACAGCAAGGAATTTAATGTTTGGACTTAAGGACAGTTGAATATTAGGAGAAAAAATAACCTTTTATTTTTTGGTCTTCTAAGGAAAGAATCTCAATCTATGACTTTTCAGAGATGACCATGTCTTTTGAAAATGTAGGTATCTTATATTAAAATGGACATGACATCTTTTTCAATGTCAATAAAATGATTTCTATTTTAGAGATTAGTCAATTGAATCCTGACACTCTATGAAGACATCGAAACTGAGATGGAGGTGGATCTTAGTTTTGTAGGGACTGAATCCGATGCAGTGTCAGGGGCAGGCAGCTCTCCTGAAAGAATACAAAATAAATTGTGAATACAAAACTAGGTGAATACAAAAATGAATTTCTCTCACACATGAGAAAATAAATTACAACAACTTGCACATTTAAAAAAGGTGACAAATAGCAAAAACATTTCAAAGTCCATAAAAATGACATACTTCTACAAAGGTTACTTTTTTCCACTACATTTTATGGCTACATACTCGTAGTGTCTGTTATGGGCTGGATTGTGTTCCCCCAAAATTCACATGTTGAGATTCTCATCCCAAGTATCTCAGAATGAAGATAGGGCCTTTAAGAGGTAATTAAATTAAAAGAAGGCCTTTAGGGTAGACCCTAATCCAGTCTGACTGGTCTCCTTATAAGAAGAAGAAGAAGAAGAAAAACACACAAAGGGACACCAGGGATGTATGCTCACAAAGGAAGACCATGTGAGGAAACAGTGAGAAGGTTGCCATCTGCAAGCCAAGGAGAGAGGCCTGAGGAGAAAACAAACCTGCTGACACCTTGAGTTTGGACATCCAGCCTCCAGAACTGTGAGGAAATACATTTCTGTTGTGTAAGCCCCCCAGTCTGCAATATTTTGTTATGGTAGCTCTAGCAAACAAATGCAGTTCCTCGACCTTCTCCCTATTAAAATGATTTTGCAGTATTTTTTTATAGAGAAAAAAATACAAAGGTAATTCAGCTTTTCTTCTTGTATGATTGATCGAAATTTATTTTTTCATTATTGGGATGCATAAACCACGTCTTTACATACAGACGTGCTGACTTTATGGCCAGTAAACAGAGTAATTGTGATAAATTCTGTTTTGTTCAACTCCAACCCCCCTCAAGCGTTCATAGTTACATATGCTGCATTGTTGAGTATCTTGACAAGAGATGTCGTGAGTTTGAACGGTGTTGGTATATTTCCCATTTTCAATTATACATTGAAATGTTTGATAAATGGAAAAAAAAAATCCCACAGATTAGCTTCTAGCTCCTTTCATTTCCAATCTTGTTTCTCCTTTAGTGACCACACACTTTGAGTGCTCGGTGCTGAAGGACTCATTTATATCATCACATTTAGTCTCTGTCTTTGTGTTGCAGAGCTGAATAAATTGTCCCAGTGAGCAGTAGGAGTGTTCTTGGAAGCCATTTGTACACTGGGATGGCTAATAGAATGGAAGCTATTGAAAATCATTTCAATATATCTGACTCCATGTATGCCTAATTCAACTTCCCCTTAGCCAGATTCCTGAAGTGCTCACAAACACTAGTGCCAATTGACACAAGGGGAGGTGTGACAGAAATCACCATGGGAAAAGATGGCAATTACATTCAGTTTCAGTTGAAATATCTTTTGCAAGTTTTATGAACATTTAAATGTAAATACAATTGCTAGGGCCCCTCCTCAGGCCGAGGAAGGAGCCTTGAAGCTTAAGCTTTATTCACTACTGGGTAAGTTGGCTTCTCAGACTCCAGAGGTTTGCCTAAATTCACACAGTGGTTAATGGGGACACTGCCCTAGGTCTCTTTCTCTATGCAGTTTCCTTTTTCTCTTTATTTTTCAAAGCATGGATTTATGCATTTTTGTTCTTTCTACTATATTTAAATGTCATATGACAATTAATTTCAATTAAATAGTAATTAAATACTGATACTATTTCGGAGACTCTAATGCCAAGAGGAAATAGGGTCTTGGAATATTTGCATTAGTAGATTATTGTTTACATTACTCTGTTGAGCTAAAGCCTGTGCTTAAAAGGGAAAATAAGCATTTGAAGTTGACAGGTTTAAATCCAGATACAGAAATGAAAAATCAAATGGCAGCATAACTAAAATCTAAAAAGTTAAAAAATGTAACCGAGTTATCCTTTATTCCGTTGCTGTTCTCTAGCTACATATCTCTTTGCTGTATATGTAGTCATTCAAATGCCAGGTTTATTTTACCTTTGTGGATTCAAATTTTGCTCTAGAATATAGATTCATTCTATAACTTAGAATTTTTTAAAAGCGTAGTGAAATAACTAAGGGAATCTTTGCTGGACTACTTTATGTTTCATCATATATTTCTGTTTGTAGAACTTCATGGCCCCTTATATAAACTTATTTGGGGAGAGCTGTGTTACTCTTGGCAATGTAAAAAAAATAGAATTTTCAGTTTCTTGGTGGAGCAGTGCAGGCAGGGCAATAAGAAGAGATGCCTAAATAGAATAGTGATTGCTGCCACATATTTGGGATTTAGTATGTCCTCTGTCCAGTGTGAAACATCCTGCATATATTAACTCATTTAATCTTTACAACAACTCTGAGCATTATTTCCATTTCCATTTTATAGATGAGGAGACCAAGGCTCAAAGATGTAAAGTAACTCATACAAAGTTGACTTAAACCCAGGTATTTTTACTTCACAGTCCATGTGCCCGGCCGCTGGCTTATCCTGCTGTTTTCTCTTTGAGAGTGAATCAGTGATGGCTGCAAGAAGTTGCACACTGTCTAAACACACTAAAAACAAGCAAGGATGAAAAAGAACTCCAGTCGCTCCAGAGAATTCTAAAGCATTCGTGCTTCTGAGATGGTGATTAGAGGAAAAATACTGGAAGTAGGAGATGTAGTCTTGTTTGAAAGCACTCAGCACCATAAGCCTATAGCATTTACACATCATGCCAAACTGTATCTTAAGAAACTCATGATCAAAACAAAATCATGAAATTTATTCATTGAACTAAAATAAAGTAGCCATATAGTGAATTCCCATGAGACTGGTTGAGCTGGCAGAACTGAAGGTGCTAAAAGAACTGCTTTTGATGTCTTTTTTTTTCCTTCTCCAGTGTGAGCATGGTAACAACCTGCTAGAAGAGATGGAAACTAGGAGACAGGAATATGAATCTGACCTGACATCACTATCTGATTGAAGCAACGAGAAAGTAAATGGAACTCCATGCTTTAAAATATTTTTAAGTGTTTTATGTCCGATTCAAACATTCAGCAGTTGTTATGTGGTAGGCAGTACAGGACATTATTTTAGGATTTGAAGGAACTTTATAGAAACTTATCAGAAATTAAATATAATTAAGAAAATTTAAACCTGTCTTCTTCTAGGAATAAAATAATGCAGATTTATTTACATAGAAATAGGCAATTAAAATATCAGTCACATAATTTGAAATGTACTATGATGAGTAGAGTTGGTAGTAATAGTAAATTGTCTAGTTTCTAACTAGCATGAGGTCTCTTTGTATCACAGAAAAAAAGTGTTGGATGAAAGAAATGATAGAGTGAAATTCAAAGTTGTTTTAGAGAACATCTAAAAATGTGATTAGCTGGCTTATCTACAAAGAATATATTTATTTTCAATACCATTTAGTGTATGTGTTCTGTAAAAGATTTATCCCATTCACAGTTGGAGGAAGATAAACATACCCCTTACTTACACTTAGGCCTTTTTCTTCTGTTGTGTGATTCATGCTATCCAACCTTAGTTAGATCCTTATTAGGACTTGATTGCTCTTTTTCATTTTGTGAGGGAACTTGTGATATTTAATGTAATATGTTCTACCAATTTTGCTTTCTCCTCAAGTCCCCAGGCCAGGCACTCAATGCTTTGTTGGTTGTCTTTTATCCTTCTGGGGGACCATCCCTTGTGAAATGGGCTAACTCTTTCTCTCCTTTAAAAATGACCATTGATCTCTTCTCTTGAACCTTTGCTCAGGGCCACTCTTCCACCTCTTATTCTGATCCCATTCCTTTCTGCCCCCTTTGCAATCTGCTTACATCCTCAGTCTCTCCCTGTTCCACTGGCTCTTTCACCTCTACTTGCATCTAAACTAAAATTTCCATATCCCAACAAGAATTTTTTTTTTTTTCAGTATTCTATCTGAGTGGTTTCTCTTCACTGATGTTTCTCTTATTTCCATCACTTGCAAAATCCAGTTGCCTGAATTCTTTCACTAGTCAATTATTTTTTACTCCTCCACAGTCTGGCTTCTGGAATGACCTGTAATGTTTGGCAGTATTGATCAGCTCCCCTTCCCCACCTGAAACTCTCTTCCTTGGCTTCTGTCATATAGTTCTGTCTTGGTTATCTTCATTGTGTCCAGACTTGCTAATTACTTTACCTTCTCCTCTGTACCAAATGGGTGAAGGCATTCTGGAAGGTTTTGTCTTTTCTCATTTGTTTATCGACTTAAAATTAAATCCTTTCTCCATCCCCCGGAGTCCTCATGAACTAGCTCTGGCTTACTTTCCGACCTCAACTCCTACTTCTCTTCTTTGGCATCAGTATACTCCCATCATTCTGGCCTTCCCTCGGTGAGAACCACATGTGATTACGAAGCATGGATCTGGCCCTTCACACGTTCTGGTCTTTCCTCAGGTATCAGTTCAACTGATTACTTTATATGTAGTAGGTCTGCTGTCTTGCTGCCCAGTGAAATCAGCTATAAAATGAGCTTGTACTAGATGTCCTCTTGAGTTCGTTCTGGATCTTTAATTCTGTGATAGACTTAAATGACCTAAGATGATAGAGTTAAAAGGCTGCTCTAAGCAGAATACCTTCAAGTATCCCCTTCATCAACTCTGTGTCCACAACAGCTAGAATATAGTTGATGCACAGTGGATGCTTGATGAATAAATCAGTTGTCACTGTGTGACTTAGGATAAGTCACTTCTCTTTGTACTTCATCTTTGATGTTTATGCTTCAGTTTTCCTTTTTTTTTTTTAATTTCTTGTGAGAAGTGACATGGATAGTGTAATCCTTTCAGGACCAAAGGTAGCAAGTGTTAAGGAGGGCACATTAACACAGATATCCTGGCACCATTTTCTTGCATCCTTGATTTAATGGATGTCAATAGTTGACTTTTTAAACTTACTTCCAAGGAATAAACTTCAGGGAATAAGGAAAATAAATAAAAGACTTTGACCTCTAAGGGCATAGAATTGTATAAGTTTGTCGTTTACCTGACAAACATCATTTTAAAGATTTTCTTAGGACTCCTATAAAATGAAATACATTTTTGAGTTTCAGCCTCTGAATCCATGAATTTTAGCTTTCTGTCAATGATTTTACTGTAGGAACATGGCTGTAAAATGAATCCTTTGTATTAAAAAATACATCTAAGCAAAGGGAAATTTAGTCTCTTTTAAAATGTAGATTTAACTGTAATTTGTTACACTACAACTGCTTTTAACCAACAAACAAATTAGTCCCATTTGTGAGATACTGTAATTGCAATAAATTGTATGTTAAAGGACAGTTCAAAATTCTTATAATGTGTTCTCACAAAGTAAGAACATTTACCAGTATATTTTGGTTTTAACACATTAACAATAATAAATCCGAATGTCTTTCTTCTAAAGAATGATTTGGTTCCTTTTGTAAGAAAAAGATAATAAGCCCATTGTTTAAAAAAAATAGATAAGCAATACAGAAACATTCAAGAAGAATAATAAAAAAGTTATTCAGGGGCGCCTGGGTGGCTCAGTTGGTTAAGCGACTGCCTTCGGCTCAGGTCATGATCCTGGAGTCCCGGGATCGAGTCCCGCATCTGGCTCCCTGCTCGGCAGGGAGCCTGCTTCTGCCTCTGACCTTCCCCCCTCTCATGTGCTCTCTCTCTCTCATTCTCTCTGTCTCAAATAAATAAATAAAATCTTTAAAAAAAAAAAAGTTATTCAAATGTAACCACTCGGAAAATACAATTACCAATATTATGCATCTGACATTCTCATCTGTCATGATGATGACAGCAGAATACCTTCAAGTATCCCCTTCATCAACTCTGTGTCCAGAGTTGGACCTCTTTATGTAAGACTTGACTCCTTAATTTTGTTTCGAGCCATGAACATAAACTCCTATTTACCAGCTGATTATTGTCCTGTGTATATGTATATATGTTTATATGTATATGTATGAGTGGGTGACACACATTTTTTATCTTTAAATATATGAATGTGCATAAATATATGTGCACATCTTATTAATGTATATATTTAAATAGAGAAAGGGGCTTAATATTTGCTACTAATGGTCAATGTACTTATAAATCAATAAAAATGGTTTTACTAATTGGTGTGTGATGTATAAAAGAGGCGACTGTTTCTTAATGTTTCTGTGGTCCTCGTTTTTATAGAAATTAATTCATTCATGTTTGTCATGATGTCTTTATTTTATGTCCAGTTAATCAGAATTCATAATCTAGCTAATAGAACCTGAGAAGCGACAGCTTAATGAAATTAAGGGGTTGGGCGCCTGGGTGGCTCAGTTGGTTAAGCGACTGCCTTCGGCTCAGGTCATGATCCTGGAGTCCCGGGATCGAGTCCCACATTGGGCTCCCTGCTCAGCGGGGAGCCTGCTTCTCCCTCTGACCCTCCCCCCTCTCATGTGCTCTATGTCTCTCTCATTCTCTCTGTCTCAAATAAATAAATAAAATCTTTTAAAAACAAAACAAAAAACAAAAACAAAAAAAAACAAAAAAAAAGAAATTAAGGGGTTATTTTGTATTCATGTGAAAGGCTAGATGGAGGCAGCCTAGGAATGTTATTGAGGCCCAGTTGTATCCCCAGAAACCAGACTCCCCTATGCTTTCTCAGCCTCTCTCTTGAGAATGTGATACTTCTCATAATTGCAAATTGGCTGCCAGAGTTCAGCCACCAGGTTTGCATTTCAAGCTGTAAGGAAAAGACAGAGGGCACAATGGAACATGCCAGCTTAGTTGGTTTCTTTCTTTTGAGGAGCTTTCTTAAAACTCCTTCCAACAATTTCCATTTTCCATTTTATGGGCTTGAAATGTGTCATGAGGCCATTCCTGGATGCTAAGGAAGGTGATTCTCTTAGTAAAGAAGTGGAGAAAAGATACTGAGCATTGCAAGTCGTGGACTCTGCCACTGATGTTTTCCTAATTGGTTAGGCAAAGACTGGCTTGATTTTTTTTCCCTTAGGCATTAATCAAATCATTTTTGTGTTTGTTTGTTTCTTCAGAAGTTTCATGTTATAAAGCAGATCCATGAAAAAGTTGCTGAAGTTGTTTTAGATTTTTGTGACCTGATTTTGAGGATAAACAAAATTGCAAGTATCTGTTTTAACTGGAAGCATTAAAAAATTCCTTCCTTGTAGTTCTTGAGGCAAACATTGTAATTGGATCACACAACACCCCTTCACCTCCTCCTTCTTTCATTTCTGTCTTTTCTGTAAAGTCTGGAGAGATGAACAGTTTCTTTCCCCATGTTTCTTGCTGGTAGGGTTGGAAAGTTCACAGGGTTTTGGCTATGGACATAGGAGGAAGTCTGCTAGGAGTGTGTATAAGATGATTTACTTTTCATTAAAAGGGGAAAACCAGGGGGAGACATTATCCATTTGTCCTCATTCTTGCCCCGAGTACACTATGATGCCTGAAACCTGAACATCCATGTTGAGAACACGAAGGAGTATGCATGAAGGGAAAAACCTAGATATTCACAGTTTTAAGTCCTAATATTGTTGAGTCACTGGGCCAAGTCTATCTCAGAACCTAAATGCGTTGTTAATGTGAAAAAGTGTTTGTCACTCTAAGTTTTTCCTTTACTTTCGGGTAAACTCTTGCCCAATTGATGCTTTATCTGTTTCTTCACTGAATCAAACTAAGGTTTTTGTTTTTCTTTTTGAGACTTTGGCCTGGTTTAGAGTTGTCATCAAAAGCCCCTACAGGGAATGCTTTATCTGTTTAGACCATGCATGTAATAGCAAAACTGTGTGTGCTCATGTTACCTGCTTTGAGCTCAGTGTGGTTTTATGTGGTCACACGGACTTAAGTTTGAAATCAGAATTTGATCTTGAGGAATTAAATCTAAAATATGAATAATAATGACTACATCTTGGGGTTTTTGTGATATTAAATGTGATAATATGGGAATACATATTGCCCAAACATTGGCTTTCTCCTGGAGTACTTTCACAATGACCAAAGGATTCCTTTTTGCTGAGATTCAGTTTTCTTTGAGACATATTATGATTTTTATGTTGGGATCATGGAGTTTGGAAGCTCAGAGAAGACAAGTATTCAAATCCCACTTGTATGAATTATGAGCTTTGGCTACTTAGTTGATCTTTCTGAACCTCTGTTTCTTTACCTGCATCTTCATTGTCTCCAGATTTGCTAGTTACTTTACCTTCTCCTCTGCATAGTAGCACTTATCCTTAACTAAATGAAATGATTCATGTGAAAACTCCTAGTCTTTGCCATGCTATGGGACAAGTAGTAGATGGTATTTGTTCTTCTGATTCATTTTAGCTTTCTACCCATAATTATATTTTAGAGTGAATGGTCCATATTTTGAAATAAATATTCCTTTTGATATTTTCTAATGACTTAAGAGAAAGTGAACTAGTGACAATAAACAAACATACAGAAGGGTTGGGAAATATTATGTTCTCTTGAACTCTGTATTCTCATTGACTGAAACCATATTACATAGATTATCAAATTCAAAGTAATTAATATATAATTAGTGCAGGATTACTAAATACCACTTACTTTTATATTAATAATACATAGGATACTTTAATATTCTGACAGTTACCATGAAGAAACTCCATTGTTCTTGCACACTAGATTTTTTTCAATGTTCATTTGAATTTTATGACTGGGTTTTTAAAAAATTGAGTTTAGTATTTATAATATTGGGTAGGTAGATAGGTCCCTTTTTCATATATTTTTTCAGAGTGACCTTTAGTAGCTGCTATTTTGAATATATAGTACATTTACTAACATTATTGGTGTAATTTTGATTTCTAATTTTTTGATTACCTAGCTTTAAACCCCACTGGTGTATGAATAACTAATACAGTTTTAGGAAAATTTTTTGATGGTAATTTTCTAAGGAACATAGTATTTGCAAAACCAAATCTAGGTTCTTCTTTTTATTTTCTTTATAATTTTAGGAAAATAGGATAACCTTTGTTCCTGTCCCTATCAGGTCTCCCTTACTGAAGCCTGATCCTACTTTGAAGAGCCAGCAAAGCTGTAGTTTGCAGTTATAATGCTTCTAAAAATACTGTGTTTATCTAAGGCCACAGAATTGTGCTCACTACAATCAATGCTTAAATATGGAAAGAGTACAACTCTGCTATCATCACAATATTGCATCTTTTCCCACATTTTGTGGCCTGTTTCCAGCAGGAATGGGGATTCAGTGTCAGCACTTTGCCCAGCTATGACTTAGCACTGATCAGTATTCTTGTGTTGTAGGCTGGGAAGAAAGTGCTTTTCTGTCCTTATCTGTTCTGACAATTTGATATATTTAGGTTTATCTCATGAATATCATTTGATGTTATTTTTGGCATTTGGTAAAAATAGATGTTTTTCAGCTGTACAGAGCTATAGTTTATAATAAACTTTATATTGCAATGTTCAAGGAAGAAATTATGATGAATTGAGACCATTCTCTGCCTGTAAGCCAAATCTCACCATTTTTACACTTCTCATTTAGCCTGGAGGGGAAGTTGTATCCTCCATTTGGGATTATTTCACCTGGCTATTCTTAGCTCCAGAAGTTTGTCACTATCAGCATGATTAAAAATACTTACCAAGCATCTTTTTTTTGGTTCTTTATCTGAGTGAATCAGCCTTGAACTTTTGGCTGGTCACGAATATTGTCAGGGAAAACCAAGGTGGTTTGGAGCAATTCAAAGTCTTCTCCAAGCACACCCAAACCATTTAATTTAACTAAGGTTGACTTTGATGTTATGGGTAATCCGATTCAATGATAGCTGAAACTATGTAATGATAATTAAAATATCAACCCACAAGTTCAGTTGTGTTTTCTTTTTTTAGGATTTGGAAGACATGGTCAACAAATATGTTATTTAATATATATTTAAGGTTTTTGTTTTTCTTTTTGAGACTTTGGCCTGGTTTAGAGTTGTCATCAAAAGCCCCTACAGGGAATGCTTTATCTGTTTAGACCATGCATGTAATAGCAAAACTGTGTGTGCTCATGTTACCTGCTTTGAGCTCAGTGTGGTTTTATGTGGTTTAATGCCTTGTTTTTGCAGAAGGCCATGCATATTACTATGGGAGGCTGCTATAACACTTCTGGGGTAGGAGAGGGTCACATAATCAGCCCACTCAAAGGACTAACTATCTCTCCTTCCACAAACCTTAATGTCTTTTCTCAACACGACTTAAAATAAGGAAGAGGTTTATATTTAAGTTTAAGGGACAGTAAAACCTATAGGTCCAATGCTGTTGAGTTAATGGAATAAGCACTCGTGTAAATAATAAGATCTGTGTGGGTTGAGGTAAGGCAAAGGGCTGCTTGACCAAAAATTTGTTCTCAACGTGTCAAAGTTTCTGAAATTTTCACAATTGGCAAGACTGTAAGTGTCTTTTTTTTGGCTTATATGGAGGTTTGGCATAGGCCTTTAGATTTAGACAACACCGGTTGTTGGCTTTAGCTCCAGGCTCAGGGTTTAGAAGACTGATTTGCTGAATGCCATCTCTGTGTCATTGAACTCATGTGAGATCATGTGGATTTGCCATCATGTGATGGCACGTCTAATCACTGTAACAATAATACTCTAACAGAATATGCCATTTGTATTGATTCTGAAAATCTGAACATATTTTTATGATTTAAAAAGTTTTAAGGGGTGCCTGGGTGGTGCTGTCGGTTAAGCGCCCTGACTCTTGGTTTCTGCTCAGGTCATGATCTCAGGATCCTGAGATCAAGCCCTGCATGGGGCTCATGCTCAGCGCGGAGTTGCTTGAGTTTCTCTCTCCGTCTCCCTCTGCTCCTCCCACTGCCCCCCATGCTTGTGCGTGCTCTCTCACAAATAAATAAATAAATCTTAAAAAAAAAAATAAAAATAGATAAAAATTTTAGAGGTTAACAGAGTGAAAAATCTCATGTGATTTATATATTGAAATAAAAGTGTATGTTAGTGTAAAATGCTACGAGGAATAATTGTGAATATTCTTATTAAGAAAAATATTTATCAAAAATTTCCAAATAAATTTGGAAATACGTCGAAATCTAATGGATCTATTAAGAGTGACTGTACTAAATAGATAGCTTAGGAAGAACATATTCTTTTTGAACCCACTAATATTTTTATATAATTTTAATAAGAGAAAGCAGAATATAGTTACATGACTTCATAATTCTAATTTTTAAGAATTAAACAAGTGAAATGTTCACATTGAAAGTCTTCACATCTTTTAAGCAAGAATGACAAAGACTATCAACTTTGCACTTCAACAAATTCACAAGCAAAGTAACCTTCAAAATCATATAAAAGATTCATGAAGAATCCTCTTCAATACACACAGTGTAGGAACTATAAAAAGGTATGAAGAGAAGAACAAACGATACAGAAAGTTGAGGTATGCCCTAAATATCTTTTTTTTTTTTCACTGAAAAATGAGCATGTAGGATTGTAGATGTGAAATTGGGTGACCACAGGAGCAATGTGGTAACTAACTCTCTATGCTAAGAAATTGTCCTTCACTAATAATGTTGATCTTTTAAAATTTGAATATCAGAAATTTTAATAATAAAATTATATTAATAATTAAACTGTTTAATAAAATCTCAGAGTTATTCTTGTATCTCATAAGTTCATTATGTAATTAAAATATTTGCTTCGGCAAAATATCAATTTTTAACGTGTGCTCATTCAGCATTTGATTTGTAGTATGTAATTGGTTTACTTCTATCTTGGGTGGATAGGTATGTTTAACTGAGTCGTAGAAGTGAGCTGGAAGACTAGAACCTAGTGTAGCTTAATTTGATAATGCTGTTGCTGAACATTAGAGAATGGAAATGCTGTGAGGAAGGTTCAGGATGGTGTGCATGATGTGTCCCATGATAGCACAATAATAGGGAAAAGGTGAGTTATTTACTTCAGATTGTCTGGGGCTGTTCCTGAGTGTCACAATTATTGATAAAGTGTGTATTCAAGTATGACACTTTAGGAAACAAAATAGTATATGCTAGGAAACATGCTATCTACCAGGGACTTTGTTCTTTTATCAGACAATGCTAAACTTACCACTGATATACAAGAGAAATATGAAATATTATAATAGGTTTTATTTAATTGCAAAGGAAATACCTAGTATATCAGTGGATTACAAAGTGAGCTAATAAAAATTTTAGACTTTGAGCATACTTTTATTAAAAATACACATCAGGTTCTGTGTAATTGCTAGATTATTGTGTGTATAATGGTCTTGCAGTAGAATTGATTAAGATTAAAAAAATTAGTAATACAAAAATTAATGTAATTTTACATAGCAACAATACACAATCCCATTACCTAGATTAATATGGTGTTTCAGTCAAATTAAAAAGCTGATATCCTTTGCAATGTGCTATCTCACAGAGGATATTTTACAATAAAATATGAGGAGCATGGGATTTTGATTCTTAACCAATTTATCCATTGTGATGTTATTTTAAAGGGACTTTGCATATGTTAATTTAAGGATATTGAGATGGGGAGGTTATCTTGGATTATCTGGGTGAGCACAATGTAATCACAGGTTTTATAAGAGACAAAAGGTTCAGAGTCAGAGAGATTGGAAGATGCTATGCTGCTGGCTTTGCAGATGGAAGGAAGGGGCCACAAGCTAAGGAATGAGGAATGCAGGCAGCCTCTTGTAGTTAGAGAAGACAAGCAAATGCATTCTCCCCTAGAGAATGGAAAAAACCAGCCCTGCCGACACTTTGATTTTAGATAAAACACCTGTGTTATTTTAAGCCACCAAGTGTGTGATAATTTGTAGCCATAGGAAATTTGTAACAGCAACCAATAGGAAACTAATGAGTCCCAGATATTTATATGAGTATTTCTTTGTGATTGCCTTATTAGTAAAATATAATCATTATATCATTATATTGTTCATTGCAGTAATTGATAATTAGTTAAAAACCATTTTTAATCAAGAAAATGTGAAGGTTATCTTAATATCTTGTTCATTCACTGATAATGTATGTATATATACACACATTCACACATACACACACACACACACACACGGCCAGGGTGGGAAGAGAGGTGAGACTGTCCAGAGAAGGTAGGCTGCCTCTTCACACGCTACCAATGCCCTGGTGTGAAATCTCAAGGAATATAAGAATTCTAAATTTCAATGTGGCCTCCAGGTCGTTAGGACTATTTGTAAATGTAGAAGGCTAGAGCATATTTTATTTAATAGTAGGTCAGCTTGATTTATGTATTTCAAATATTTAGACATACAATATGAAAGCTTCTTTTATATTTTTACTCTAGGTCCTGAAAATGTTAGTGTCAGGTCTTTTCTTCAAGATCATTTCCTGCTGTTTTTCACTTATTCTGAGTGCTCCAGACATAACAGGTTAAGCACAGATTTCTCAATCTTCCATGCTACTTGTTACTTTTGCTTGTATTACCTCCTCTGCCAAGAGTGCCCTTTCTTATTCTTTCACCTAGGAGCCTGACACATATTCTTCAAGACTGAGATCAAAAGTTATCTCCAACCTTCTCTGGTCACAATTAACCATTTCCCTATTGGTGGTCCCTTTGCTTCTTTTAGTCCTGATATAGCTCTTCTATCCCTAACTTGAATGTGAGCTGCTTGGTGGAAAGGACATTTTATTTACATCTGTATTCCCATGCCTTGCTTATAGCCAATATTAGTGAGGGAGAGCATTCTTTGTGTTTCTTACATACGTTGATAGTGTGAAATGAAAATCACTTAGTTTTCTTCCTCCTGTTGGTCCCAACTGATAGCACACATCCACACTAGATGCGTAGGTATTTAGGCTAAGAAAAATAAGCTTTATAAATGAAGACCCCATAGGCCCAAAGTGCATGCCTCCCTTGTGAAAGTGTGTTGAGAGTATGACTATGTCTTGAAGCTGAGGTGGGAATTGGGGCCCTACCACCTTTTTGCTAAATCTCAGCCTCAGGACTCTTTGTAGGGAGAAGCTCTGAATATGTTTACAATCCACCTATATGGAGCACTGCACATCTTCATGCACTCATGAGCAGATGGTCCAGAGAGCTCCACATGATACTAGAGGAGGGCTCCAGGATTGGCTCAGGAATGAAGGATTCAGGTCTGATCCTGTGTGCCTTCTGCATGGGTCGGAGAAGGGTGAAGAAATCTGGCCCTGATCCTCTGATACATCATCAGGCAGTGTGTGAGGGGTTGTGGGCGGTGAACCTAAGTCTTCTTTCTGAGGAACAGTATTCCTCACCGGTGGCAGCAAGCTCTCTAAACACATAATCACATAATCTCTCCAATCACATAATCACTCCTTTCTGAGGTGGGGTTAGGACGACAGAGAAGAAAAAGAGTAAGAAGTGGAGGTAGAAAGATGCAAAATATTCACTCTAATACTTCCTGAATCATGAAGGCAGAGGATGTTTCATCATGTGTAGAAAGGAGATTCTTGGGATTAAGTATAATCTTTTTTTTTTAAGGATATTATTTATTTATTTATTTGACAGAGAGATAGAGAACACAAGTAGGCAGAGTGGCAGGCAGAGGGAAAGGGAGAAGCAGGCTCTCTGCTGACCAGGGACCCCGATGCGGGGCTCGATCCCAGGACCCTGGGATCATGACCTGAGCCAAAGGCAGCCGCTTAACCAGCTGAGCCACCCAGGCGCCCCTAAGTATAATCTTCTAATAGTAGGAAACCAGTATGATTTTGCTGAGCAGTTTATGGGCTGTCGTGACTGAGAAGTCATGCATGAGGGCCACCCTTTGTTCTGCCCTCCCAATAGGCTCTCCACCCTGTTCTGTGCACCAGAAAGCTCATCTTGAATTGTTTCAAAGCACTCTCTTCCCTGCTGTCAGTTGGGTTTAGTGATAGGAGGTTTCCTGTAGACAGCTGCAATGCAGGTGTGCTCAAGAGAACATGGGATCTAGACATGCAGGTCCTGGAATTATTAGCCTTTGGCTACTGTAGAACCCCATGGAGTCTTTGAAATCACCTATTGGAAACTCAAGAACGCAGAGAAAAATTTTACAATGTTCTCCCAATTCCTTTATGTTGCACTTCTTTCCTGATGCATTGACTACTATTTTACCCGCTGTCCCCAGCGCCCCATATTTTCTTATTTCACTTTGAATGCTTCCTTCACTTATAATGTTCTTGATTTCTATCCCTATCAATTTTGCTTCGAATTGCCTGGCATTTTTTTCCTGCCTCAGACATCACCACCACTTCCTGGACTTCTGCGTTCCCTGTTTCTTACCTCATTCTCCCAGTATACACTTCTCTGTTCGCATATGTTTACTTAAGGATATTGAGATGGGGAGCTGTCCCATTGCTTCTGTCTATCCCCACTGACCATGTTTCTGTCTCCTCTATTGTCTCACATATTCTGCTTACATGGAAATAGCTTATGTAATATTTAACTCTCCAATTTTGAAATGTAAAGGAAAACGTAAAAGAAAAACAATTCAGGCTAGTGAATGTGATAATCTGGTTAAGTTATAAGGAAGATGTGGGTTTTACCCAATATGCTACGATTTTAATGGGACTCCATAATGTTTACTAAGCCAGGTTTTCCTTGAACAAAGACCACATCTAGAGGGTAAGTTAGGCATAAAGTTGCTTAGACTATTAGGGTTTCAGGTCACAAATTCCTGACTTAGTGCATTATATGGTACATTCATGAGCAGAAAGAATACACCATTTCTTTCTCTCGTAAGTCATATGGGGAATCTGCCTCATTTATTTGTTTTTTCTTCCAAAGGTCCTTCCGTTGGCCGCCATTTTTTCTCCACACTTGAACATTGGTCTGTAGGGAGTTACAGAAAACATTTAAGATATGACAAAAGGGTAGAAATAGACTTAGATATTTACATTTAGTAGATGTAAATATTTCATATTTATCTTATATAAAAGAAATGGTATTTGCAACAGATGTTTCATTCTGTATTATTGAACAGAAAAGTGTCTTCTGTATTGTACATGAACTGCTCAAACCTTTCCTGGATTTCCAAAAAACATTGATACAACTGGGATTTTAATTATAGTTGTGCTGTAATGAAAGATAATGTAGATAATTTCTCTGCACCAAACATGCAACTTGTAATAATGTCCCAGGTTTTTAAAAGAATTGAAACAATGTCTCTGAAATGTGACGTGGTTTTAAGAAACATAAATTAAGACACAAGTCTGTGCCTGGAAAGGCATCCTGTTATTGGCCTTAAGACCTTTTCTTTCCAACACAGTAAAGGATGGTTAATCAGAAACTCACTGGATTTTGAAGTGAGTTTGTGAGTAAAGTGAATGAAGAAAAAAAAATGCCTCTGGCTTTTTTTCCATAGAAATGAATAATCCTTCCAAAGATGTTCTCTTTACTTTCCTTGAATGCTTTACCTCCCTCCCCTCCCCTTCAGAGTCCACTTGTTTCTGTAATATGAATCTGCTCCTGTATTACCTCCTCCCTAAAAACACCTTGATTCCTCCTGCCCCTAGGTAGATCCTGTAACCTTCCTCCACACTGGGGCACATACCCTCAGTATAGCATTTGCATCTGCCTCATGTTCCTATAATTCTTAGTACATCTGTTTTCTTTCCCCGGACTATGAGCCCCTTCAGAGCAGGGACTGTATTATATTCAGTCTAATGGATTACATGACACACTGCTTATTAAAATCTGAATCACCTAATACCACTAAAATATTATCTAGTGGGGAATAGTGCTATTTCAGCTAGAAAAAGCAAATGCATGGTTCCCTAGAAATACAAGGCTTGTCACCAATATTCACCAATATTTCTCCTCCCCCTTTTTTAACCACTTCTAGGCCAAGATTGGCCTCAAATACAGAACCAGCAGAATGTAACTTTTACAGTAACTTTTACAGCTGCCTAAGTTCTCTGGAGCAGAAACGCAAAGCTAAAGCAACATTTTAAAACTGGCCAAAAAACTGGTCAAAGAAGAGGGAAGGGAAGAAAGCAGATTCTTTTGGATAACTGAGATACTTGTTTCAGATAAGCGAGGTGCTTATTTCATATTTCATACTTATTTCATGATCATAACGAACTTGGGATGTTACCCATTTTACAATGTAGATTCTAAAGCACAGCAGGATTACAGTTCACAGTAATGCTAACTAAAGAGAATCACTTTTAACAATCTGGAATTTATTTCCAAATCTGCTTGTATGTGTATGTTTCAGGACTGGGATCACAGAATATATAGGTTGTATTCTGCTTTCTTAATTTAATATTTTGTTGTGAACAATCTCCAGTGCTCTTAATAGTTTTTTGACAATATAGTTTTAATGACTGCCTATATTCCATTCATTTATCAATCACTCATTGAACGTTTCTATGTGCCAAGCAGTAGTATACTGTACCTCAGGGATATAAAAGCCAACAGATAAAACCCCTGCTTTCGTGAATTTATTTTAAAGATGTAATTTATGTGGCCAATACTGTTGGTTGGCTAACTTAGCATTCATCTCTATTTCCTCTCTCTACTTCCAGGAATTGAGGCTGGAAAAGAAATACGCTTTTCACACTTCTCTTTCAGTGAGGGTTGGCAATATAACCCAGTTATGGCCTGTGGGATTTCTGTAGAAGTCTTCTACTGGATTTCTGGGAAGTTTTTGCTTTTTTGATGAAGGGGATGGATGTATTGAGATTTTTGAACATATCCCCTTCTAAAAGAATATATGAGGGACGCCTGGGTGGCTCAGTCATTAAACGTCTGCCTTCGGCTCAGGTCATGATCTCAGGGTCCTGGGATCGAGCCCCGCATCGGGCTCCCTGCTCCGCGGGAAGCCTGCTTCTCCCTCAACCACTCCCCCTGCTTGTGTTCCTTCTCTCGCTGTGTCTCTCTCTGTCAAATAAATAAATAAAATCTTTAAAAAAAAAAAAGAATATATGATGCCTGAGCTGTGTCTGCCTTCGTTTAACTATGAGAATACAAGCAACATTCTGAGGATGTCAGAGCAGAAATACAGAAAAATCCTGGGATCCTGCTGAGATGTGAGCACCTAAAGCAGTGCCAGCTACTACTTACCAGTAGACTTAGTTTGTGAGAAAAATGAACTCTTATTTTTTTCAAGCCTCCATTAGTCAGATTACGGGTTATTTGCAGCTGAATAGAATCCTAATGTTACATATTATTTAGCCAACCTGCTAGGTCAGTGTCTTTAGATTGATTTACATTTTTTCCAATTTTTAACTTATGCTCTAAAGAATAATACCATGCAAAGTTTTGAGCCCATTTCTAATTATTCTGGTAAAATACATTTCTAGATGTAGAATTGCTGGATATGAGTTTGATTCTGGATGCATTTTGGCCATATTTCCATCTTGAAAGTTGGAGACCATTTATAATCTCAAAGATGTGAGAGTACCCAATTCAAATGAATTGGTACTTCTTAACTATATATTTTCAAATTATTGTATCCTTTCAATGACACTAAAAATTTGAGTTCAGAAAGTGACCCCGTGTACTCTCTGTGAGAAAGCAAGGTTCAAAAGAAAAGTAGGGGAACACTAATGGATGCCCAGGAACCTTTTGTAAAAGGAGAATATTTCCTTGTGTAAACTCTGTAGGTGGAAAAATAACCCAGTCTTGCTATCTGAGATGCAGAAACAGAAAGAACTACAGTGTCAGAGACACTTGTTCTCATCCAACTTGTAGTTTCTTCACCATTCTGAAATATCTGAGTAAATTTTAACCCAGAAAACGTCTTGAGAATGTGTGTAAATTCTGGGGATATTCCAGGCAACAGGTATGGTACAAAAAACCCTGCAAGGACTCGGTAAAGAACTGCCAGTAAAAGCAATTGTGCTCAGGTTTCATCACCTCTTACCCGATTTACTAAAAAAAAAGTGATTATCAGCTTAGTTCAGCAAAACTCAAAAGACTTCATGTTTAAGTGCTCTACACTTTGCCAACTTTTTCATATAAAATGTGTAAATCCTGCTAGCATATTGGAATGGTTATTTTTTCCTAAACATACTCTTAATCTGGTTTTGAACTATGGAATATAGATTGAGCTAAATATTATGCACAGCTTTCCTATTATATACAAGGCAAAAAAAAATTTCCTTTGGGAATTGTTTTCTAGAAGACCAAACATGACCTAATTAGATATACAGATAACCTTAAAGAAGCTTAAATAAATAATCCCTCTCCAATCAATTCCTGCAGGCTATGCTAAGGGAGTATTTCTCCCTCTTTAATGCAGTTCTGTTCCAGCTTAGAGCTCTTTTATGTCCATAAGCACTCTAACTTTTCTTCTATAACCAGAAAGGAATATTTTCATTCTGTGTCTTCCTTACACTGGTGTATATTCAGCTACTACTTGAGTAGAGTCGCTGGCATAGAAAACCTGGACCATCAGCTTGCATGGAACTTTGCAAAAAAAGGACAGAAGGAGCTGAGCTGTGTCTAAGCTGATGACTCACTGAAGTCCAGTCAAGTGTAAAATCAAGTTAGAAGCAGCCCAGGCCAGATACTGAAATGTGCCAGGTAAGATTTCTAGAAAGTGTGTTTTCATAATGATTATGAAAACTTTGATCCTTTCCCCAGATATCATTGCCCTTCATATTGAATCATAACTCTGGTTTACGTTGCTTACTCTGGAGCAAGTGCTTTTGAAGATACTGAGGGGTAAAGATGAGTCTAACAGGATTTGTTGTTGGTTGTTTCTGGGCTCACCTCTTTACCTTACAGTTTACATAACATCTTTTCCCTTCAAAAAACCTGTTCCCGTTCTGGGTGCCAAAATCCGCGTTTGTCTTCCTCCTACAAATTCCAGAAGTCAAAGGATCTAAGGCATAGCCTTTTCTATCTGTATTTAAAGGAGTTCTTCATGCGTTCAATGTGGTCCTTAACGTAATCTCACCAAACTAATTTTGTCCTTGGGCACCCTCCCGTTAGCTTAGTGTCACTGAGTTTCAGCAGTCATTGGCTGAATTCCGGAGTATAGCTCCTGCAGCATCTGATTTGCTTTTACGAAAAATATAAACCAGACGCTGATGAAACTGTTCAGGAAGCTCTATGCGGTGTGTGTGAAATCCTGGTTTTATCCTTAATCTCAAAGATTGGGCATGACTGCTCATATCAGAGGATTTCAGCTCAATGCCGTCTTGATAAAGCAACCACCAAATTTTCTAAAGAAAAATATTTTCTCCCCCTACTTTGTCAGTTCATTTTGTGGGGGTCCCTATCACGGTTTCAGATAGTAACCTACAGTGATAGCTTTAAAGATTGAATAAAATCATGAATATCTTTGGATAGGTGATGGTTTTCTCTGATGCCACTGGCTATGTTTTGTACATCCAGTAGCTGGAGAGATATTTAAAAGATCATCTGGCTGGATCATCAGACTTACACTCAGTAGAAAAGAAACACTGCCATCATTTTTTTTCTGTGGGGGCTCAGAGATTTTCAATAATGCCAATATAGTTAGTTGAATGGATAGTGACATTAATTCTAATTTCAAGTATGCCGAGGTCCCCTAAAAGGTTGACTGTTGAGGGAAAATATCTTTTACTCTCATTTTCCTCATATATAAAAATACTTTTTTAAAAAAATACTTCTTTGTGAGGCGCCTGGGTGGCTCAAATGGTTAAGCATCAGCCTTCAGCTCAGGTAATGATCCTAGGGTCCTGGAATTGAGCCCCACATTGGCCTCCTGGCTCCTCAGGGAGCCTGCTTCTCCTTCTCCCTCCTTCCCTCTCCCCAGCTCATGCTCTCTCTCTCTGTATCTCTGTCAAATGAATAAATTAAAAAAAATCTTTAAAAAAAAAAAATACTTCTTTGTAAGGTCAGTGATAGTCTGCGCATACGTGATTCCTTGTAAATTTAATGTACAGTGTAAACATTGAAGCCTGATGTGCTAAACTGGATCCGGTAATGAAGGACGAGCCTTTAAGAACTTTGTTAACTTTGAGATTGATTGATTGGTTGATTGATTCATTCATTCATTCATTTATTCATTCAGTGAGTTATTTGTTGAGTTCCTTCTGGGTATCAGGCTATGTGCTGGCAAAGCAATAGTAAGCAAAAACAGACATGTTCCCTCTACTCTTGGGGCTTGCTGTGAAGTAGAGGAGAGAGGTATTAATCAAATATATCATCTATTGCAGTTGTGATAAGAGCATCAAAAGAGGTACATGATGATGCTATGTGGTTTCTTAATGAGGGATTTCACCTGGTCTGGGAAGTCAAGATGGGCTTCACTGAGGACTTGACTGAAATGGCATGTGGAAGAAAAGCAGGAGTTAACAAGGGGAGTAGGAAAAGGAAGAAGCAGCAGCCTAAGAGCCTATGGCAGAAGGGAGCCCAGCAAGTCTGAGGGGCTAAAGGAAGGAAGACAGGGAGGCCTGGAGTGTAGAGAACATGGCTCACTGTGAGGCTGGAGTGGGTAGGTAACAGCCACTCAGGCTGGGTCTTAAAATGTCTGATCTTTATCTTGAGAGCAATAGGAATTCATTAAAGGTTTTTTAAGTGGGTGGTTCAGGGAGCAGGATAGAACACATATAATATGAAATTCCTCTTCTAAAAAGACCACTCAGGCTGTGGGGGTGAAAAGAGCCGAAAGACCAGGAGGGGAGTGTATGTATACCTGCCTTTAGTTTAGGGCTTTGGAGGACTTTACAAATGACAGAAGGGCAGTAAGGGGAAGACTGGGTTCCTTAAGCAGAAAGGTTAAGAAGGTTAAGCAGGGTTTCAGAAACTGGTAATGATTGTTTTTAAGTCCAAATCTGGTTACAATGAATTATGGATAACACATTTACTATGATGATAATTATGAGTCAGTAAGGTAGGCTAATCCATATGTAAGCCTTCCCTCATGGGTAGGGAAGGGTAAGTCTTCCCTCCTGGAGGTCTTATAAGTAAGCCTCTCTGGTTTGGTTTTGTTTGTTTGCTTGCTTGCTTATTTGTTTTAATTATTTTTTCCTAGTTCCACATTCTTAAGTAAGATGTAAAAATAAAAGCAAAGATTCACTCCCAGCTCTCTCTTTCCACACACACACAATGAAACACACACATTTGCATACATGCAGAATATTTTTGTACATACATCTTTTTATCCTTGTCTGATTATCTTTTTTAGGATAAATGTCTAGATGAAATTACTGGCTCACTTGGTATACACATTTATTTATTTATATTTTTATATATTTTAATTTTTTTTATTTGAGTATAGTTAATACGTACTGTTACGTTAGTTTCAGGTGTACAACCTAGTGATCTGACAAGTTTATAAGTTATGCTGTGCTCACCACAAGTGTGGCTTACCATCTGTCACCATACAATGCTATTATGTCATTGACTATATTCCTTGCATTGTACCTTTTAGTCTACTGACTTATTCATTCCACAGCTGGGATCCTGTATCTCTCTCTGCCCTTTACCCAGTTTGCTATCCCTTGCCCCTCTTGCCTCTGGCAACCATTTGTTAAAATTTCAATGTGTTTATGAAGTATCTGTCCTCCTAAAAGCTTGAAACAATTTAAGTTTTACCAGTTTTGGAGATGATTTCCATTTTATCACATCTTTGTCAAGGCTAGATAGATACATTTTTCGTCTGATTATTATTTTTTGCCTTTCTGATAGGTCACAGATGATTTTTTTTTCTGTTTTCATTTGCTTTTTAAATTTTTAATTGATGTCATTTTTCTCGACAGCTCTGTATCACATTTTGGTGTATTCATTTTGCTTTTAGGAATTCATTTAAAATAATTAAATATCTTTAAAGTACATCTGTGGTTAATATAATATATCCTTTCTGTGTAGATTTTGGAGTCAACTTTTTTATTCAGGGACAGTACAGGAATTTCAGTGGAACCCGATGCAATCAACATTTAAAAGACACATTTTCCTTGATGCTGTTATGCAAAACCCTATTTTTCTCAGACTAAACAATTCACAAATTTTTTTATGTAATCTTTAAAACATTAATAGACTTCATTTTTTAGAACATTTCTAGGCTTACAGAAAAATTGTGCAGAAGATAGGAGTTCCCATATGCTCACCACCCTCTCAACAGCATTGCCCCTACTATTCTTGCATTAGTATGGTACATCTGTTATAATTGATGAACCAATATTGATACATTATTATTCAGTATTGTTCATAACTTATATTAACATTCACTCTTTGCGTTGTACAGTCTATAGGTTTGGAAAGTGTATAACGTCACATATCTACCATTATAGGTTCATACAGAATTAGTATTACCACTCAAAAAATCCTCTCTGCTCTGCTTATACATCTCTACCCCTACCCTCACTCCTTGCCTGAACCTCTGGAGGCCGGGATTGATATTTTTTCTGTCTTTATTGTTTTGCCCTTTTCAGAATGTCACATAGTTGAAATCCATATATTAGATAGCCTTTTCAGATTGGCTTCTTTCACTTAACAATATACATTTAAGTTTCCTCCATGTCTTTTTTTTTTTTTAAGATTTCATTTATTTATTCATGAGAGATAGAGAGAGAGAGGCAGAGGCAGAGGGAGAAGCAGGCTCCCCGCGGAGCAGGGAGCCCGATGCGGGACTCGATTCCAGGACCCTGGGATCATGACCTGAGCTGAAGGCAGACGCTTAACCGACTGAGCCACCCAGGCGTCCCTTCCTCCATGTCTTTGTGTGCCTTGATAACTTATTTTTTTCTTATCGCTGAATAATATTCCAAACCACAGTTTGTTTATCCATTCACTTATTGAAAGACATCTTGGTTGTTTCCATAATTTGGGGAGATTATGAATAAAGTTGCTATAAACGTTTCTGTGCAGGTTTTTGTGTGGTTGTAAGTTTTCAACTCATGTGGATAAATTGTAATTGCTGCATTATATGGAAAAACTATGTTTAGCTTTGTAAGAAGCTGTCAGATTGTTTTCCAAAGCGGCCATACCATTTTGTTTTCCCACCACCAATAAATGAGAGTTCCTATGCTCCACACCCTCACCAGCATTTGATACTCAAGTGTTTACGATTTTAACCATTCTAATAGGTGTGAGTGTTACCACATTGTTTCAATCTGCAATTTTCCAATGACATATGTTGAACAAATTTTCATCTGCTATGCTTTTTTTCCATCTCTATATCTTCTTCAATGTGGTGTCTATTAAAATCTTTTCACCATTTTTAAATTGGATTTTTTATCTTTATATCAGTGAGTTTTAGGAGCTGTATTTTGGGTACAGTCTTTTATCAGATATGTGTTTTGCAAATTTTTTCCATGGATTGTCTTTTCATTCTCTTAATAGTGTCTTTCACTGAGCAGAAGTTTTTAATTTTAATGAAATCAAATTTGATCCATTTTGGAGTTATTTTTGTGAAAGTTGTAAGGATTGTGGTTTTATTGACTTTTTTTGTATGTGGGTTTCCAGTTGTTCAAACACCACAAATGTCTTGTCCATGCTTGGAACCCTAAAACACCTCTGTGTTATTAATACTAAGACTACAGATTTAGATGTAGACATGAATATTTTGCTACTTCTGAGTGGCTTACTTGAAAGCCAAAAAAAAGTGACATATTTACTCTAAGAGTCTTTAATTTAGGATGAGATCACTAGCAGAAACACTTCCATAATGTACAATTTTAATAGAACTGGTGTGTTATTTAGAAACACACAAAGGACTATTCAAAAGTTGGTGTAAAATTATAGCTGTGCCTAGAGAAAAAATTATGTTTCTTAACATCTCCCCTGTCTGCCCTGGTTCTTCTTACAGCTTCTCTTTTTACTCAAGTCTGTGATCTTTGTCTTTGTTAGCTTGCAGTGAACTTCATTCACTGATGCTGGAGGGAGAGAGTTTTCAGTTAGATGCCCTAGCTCCTGATCCATACCCTTGGAAACTGGATGTAGTCTCAATATTAAAATGTGCAGGAATACATCAAAGATATGTTTTTAAATGTCCCCCTTTAACCTTAGAATAAATAATTTGGAAGTATTTCTTTTAGTTCCTAGCTTTGATATGACTTACAATGGAATAAAAAGACAGGAGTTTCAGTTCCTTTTAATGCTTCTCTTCTAATAGGTTTGTGATTTGATACCATGGTGATAGGCATCAAGGAAATACTTAGGATTAATGATGTTTTCAGTTGATTTGGAAAAGAAGTGTATTTTTAATTCCTCTAGCTTCTTGGTTAAATTACCATCTTGCATACAAACTCCTTTTTGGCATAAACGAATTGAAAATACTGATTTCAAGAAATACTTTAATCCATATAGCACCATGCTTACTTTTGCTTAACTTTACCAGGTTATTTTAACCCAAATCATAGAGACAACAACAATAAAAAGAGTAAAGCAGATGGCTTAAATATTATAAGTACATCTTAGAACACTTTTGGTATTTAGAGAATTACTTTTAGAATTGCTGAGCTTTTTCTTAGTATTTAAATGTCTGCTATTTCTTAAAATGTTTTTGGTCTTAACTGGGTTAAAGTTTTAATTTTTTTTTTATTTTACCTTTAATGTGGAAAGAAATAGCCACTTGAAGTTATCAGAGTATTCCCTTTATGACACAGCAAAGAAGTTGTGTAGATTCTTTGGAGTGTCCTTTGAAATATTTCTTTCCCATTATTTTCCTGTGACAACCATTGCAGGTTTCCGCTTCAACCTGGACTTATTTCTTGATGTCTCTGACTAAAGTCTTTTCTTGTACTGTTTTGCCCCACATTCTACACACTGTTTGATCTTCCACAAACATTACTCTGCTCCTATTATTGTAGTAATTGTTCTGCATTGTGGTGTAGAAAGAGTATGGATTTTGGAATAAGTGCTACTTATTCTCCCTGCGCTTTTGGACACACACTCTAATCTCTAAGGCTTACTGTCCTTAACTATAGAGTATTGTCAGCACTCTCATAAAAGTTGGCATTATGATTAAATGAAAAGGGCTTGTTCCCTTAATACTTCTCATCACAATCCAGAATTCTTATCTTGACATATGAAATCAACCAAAATTTGTGCTCAGATAAGCTTTCAACACTTACATTAACTCACCTGCATGTGGCCAAAATTTTAGCCAACACCCAGACGGAACTCTCCAATTCATTAAAGTGACCTGAAATGACATCTCTAAATTCCTGATTAAATGTAGCCAGCCTAAAATGGCCTTTTTTCTTCCTGATATTTGTAGGGCACTGATGTTTGTTTTCTTGTGACACTTAATAATGACTGCTTTGAATAATAGTTACTTGTGTAGAGATCTTTTAAAAATTTTTTTATTTTTATTTTTTTAATTTAAATTCAATTAATTAACATATAGTATATTATTAGTTTCAGAGGCAGAGTTCAGTGTTTCATCAGTCCTTATATAATACCCAGTGCTCATTACATCACGTGCCCTAAGGAGGGTAGCCATCATCCAGTTACCCTGTCCCCCCACCCTTCTCCCCTCCAGCAACCCTCAGTTTGTTTCCTATGATTGTCTCTTATGATTTGTCTCCCTCTCTGATTTTGTCTTGTTTTCTTTTTCTCTCCCTTCCCCTATGATCCTCTGTTTTGTATCTTAAATTCCACATGAGTGAGATCACATGTAATTGTCTTTCTCTGATAGATTTATTTCGCTTAGCATAATACCCTCTAGTTCATCCATGTCATGGCAAATGGCAAGATTTCATTTTTTTGATGGCTGAGTGGTATTCTATTAAGTATACATACCACCTCTTCTTTATCCATTCATCTGTTGCTGGACATCTGGGCTCTTTCCATAGTTTGGCTATTGTGGGCATTGCTGCTATAAACATTGGGGTGTAGGTGCCCCTTCAGATCATTACATTTGTATCTTTGGGGTAAATACCTAGTACCCTATAACCCAGCAATTGCACTACTAGTTTTTAATTTTTTTAAAGATTTATTTATTTGAGAGAGAGGGGGCATGAGTGTGGGGGAAGTGGCAAAGGGAGAGGGTGAGAGATTTTTTTATTTTAAAGATTTTATTTATTTATTTGACAGAGAGAGAGACAGCAAGAGAGGAACACAAGCAGGGGGAGTGGGAGAGCGAGAAGCAGGCTTCCCGCTGAGCAGGGAGCCCAATGCAGGGCTTGATCCCAGGACCCTGGGATCATGACCTGAGCCAAAGGCAGACGCTTAACCAACTGAGCCACACAGGTGCCCCGAGGGTGAGAGAATCTTAAGCAGACTTTGCTTTGAGAGCAAAGCCTGATGCAGGGCTCGATCTCCTGAGCCTGAGATCAGGACCTGAGCCAAAACCAAGAGTCATATTCTTAACTTACTGCGCAACCCAGGTGCCCCTGTAGAGATCTTTTCTGAGAGGTTATAAGGTACTCAACTGCAAAGCCAACGTTATACCCATGCATCCTTACAGCACTGAGACCAATATCAGACATAAAGAAAAAAAAAAGTTTTCAATAACTATTTGGTGAATGAAGGTATCATTTACATTTTTAATATTCATCATTGTCCTATTATTTCAGGATTACCTCTTAGAGAATTTTTCCATGTTAAATCATTAAAAAATTGTCAAATTTTGAGGTAATTTTGTGGCTCAAGAATACTTGTTAGACCATTTCAGAGTGATATCACTTTGGGTATTATTATTATTATTATTATTATTATTATTATCATCTAGAAAATTAGCTCAAATTGACTAACAGCAGAAATGTTCCTTAATGTATCAGAGTTTGACAAATCTATTCCCATTAAGGAAAAAAAAAATCTGAGGCATTGTTAGTTAATACTTCATCTTTTAAAATATCTAGGTTATTTTTGACCCCAAACCTTCCAAATACTTAAGACTCTATTGTATTAATGAATGAATGTCCTTTTGTTCAGAGATTATGTTAAACCGTGCCTCAAATAATGCATAATATCTCATTAGACACCATAAGACTAAGGAAGACTTCTTAACCTGTCTAATACATTTTCCATATTTTCAGCAAGTTTACTTAAACCATTTCTGACAGGAAGACAACTTTTCTAGTCTTATTTATCCCAAGGGAAGATGATTTCATAGCCTCCCTTATAAAATAAGGATTTTCACAAATGAATGTGGTAAATGAACCCTAGAGCTATTGTGGTGACAAATGAATTCTGTCATTGAAAAACTTGGAATGAATAACACCAAGGAAGAAAAAAAAACTCACCTTGCTTGAGATTAGGTAAGCGTAAGGCATTTATGATGACTTTCACTGATGCTGCTCAGGAAAATCCTGCTTTGCAATAGATAGAGAATGAAGAGAAGATAACACACTTTGATAGAAGGGGAGAGGAAGAGAAAAGAGCATTTGAGGAAACTGAAGAAGAAATATTGGGAATTAAATGGAAAAATGCCATATGAAAAGAAATATACCCGTAAGTAAATGAAATATAAATGCACAAAAGGGCCCCAAATAGGAGGATCTTCCCTGGATTGCATCTTTAAGAGATATTTAATGCCCATCAGTGTGAAGTTTAAAAACTATTACCTGTGCATTTATATTAACTGTTAATCTTTAAAAAAACATTTAAAAACCTTTAAATACTAAATTTTTATGATTGCTTTCCTAAAAGTTTTCCTCAAGGATTTCTCTGTTTTCACTTTGGTTAGTTTTTAACAAATTAATTAAATATAAGGTTTGCCTTTCCATTCTCTTCCCGTGATACTCCTGGCTGTTTGAAAAAGAACACTCAATTCATTTAATAAAGGAAACACTTGTTGGGGTGCCTGGGTGGCTCATTTGGTTGAATGTCCAACTCTTGATTTCACCTCAGGTCACGATCTCAGGGTGGTGAGAGCGTTGGGCTCTGCATTGGGCATGGAGTCTGCTTGAGTGGAAGACCTGGAGTCTTCTCTCTCTCCCTCTCCCTTTGCCCCTCCACCCCACACCTCTCTTTCTCTAAAAAAAAAAAAAAAAAAAAAAGAAGAAGAAGAAGAAGAAGAAAAGAAAACACTTGTGATGAGCACTGGGTGTTGTATGTAAGTGATGAATCACTAAATTCTACTCCTGAAACCAATATGACACTATGTTAACTAACTAGAATTTAGATAAAAACTTGAAACAAAAAAAGAAAAGACTTGTTCATTGGTCCACCTCTCAAGACATCCAGCAGATAGAAGGATAATTAAACCCATCCCTTAGTATAGCTGTTGTTTTCCTTCTGGCAGCTTCAATTCTATTTTTTCTTTGACTGCATCTAAGTTTTCTTTAAGAATTTTATGAAATTGTCCAAGAAAGGTGACTCTAGGATCTGAGATGGCACTGACAGAAAGCAAGCCATACACAGTTAGTGTGCAAATCGTAACAGGGAGCAGGTTCTTGATTTGTTTTATCCTTTCTTTGAGTATACATAAAACAAATAAACATTTTATAGTTTCTTAGAGAATTTGGATAGTGGGTATGAAGCAATCTGGATAATCTACTTTTTCATTATATTACATTTATAATTTATATGTTCCGTAAATCCCTTTTTTATGAATAAAATGTTTTATTAAAATATAAAACATTTGGTGTTGGATTATTGTAAGCTTCTATCTACTGGAAAAATTCACTGAAATTTTTCCAGTTCCCTTTATTGTAAGGCTAAATACTTTTGCTCTTGAGAGATGTGTGTATGTACCTTTGATAGTAATAATCAGCTGTGCTTTTAACCCTGATGAAATAATTCATTATTCCTTATTTTTTTAAAAAGGCACATGTATATATCTATTCACTCTATAATACATAAAGGCAGAATAAAAACGTATGGTTTTGTTAAGCTGTATTGCCTCAAAATATTTAGGGGAAAACTACATGCAGATTTTTAAAAATAAATGTCTTGTCTGGTCTCAGTCTGGTCTTATCTGATCTCAATCTGATCAATGTTGAATTTATTCAGAATGGTCATTAGAGATTTTGCCTAAGCCTAGAGAAAATATAACTGTTCTACATGGGTTTAAACTTTGAATTAAGCCTCACAAACAGCAAGGCCAAAATAGCAGAGTTAAATAACTCTGAAAAATCAATGATGTTTGCATAAAATGAATTAATTAGAGTGTTTTGAATTTTATATTACTTCAATACAAGAAAATATACATATAGAAGCCATTCCACTAGTATTTCCTATATACTTCATTTCCTGCCCGGCCTCTGAGGTTTGCTTACTGTCCAGTCTGCAAATAACTGATGACATGGATGATCAATACATTTTGTAAGTGATGTATTGAAAATGTAATTCATTTTATTCCTATTACAAGCTTTTGCCTGCCATTAACTTCAATAAAATATCAATAGGGTAAGAAAATCATACAATTTGATATGTTAGGGAAAGCCAGTTAGTAGAAGAAGGAACAGTGTATTAAAATCTTGCTAAATAAATGAATCTAGGCAAGAGAAAAAATGAAATCATAAGAAAAAAAATTATGTAACAGAAGTTTTTACAGTACTATTCTATTAATACATGTGGGGCTTTCTGATTTAAAAACTATTATTTGGAGAGTAAAATTTCTGATTTACTTTTTATTTCAAATTTTTATTGGTACGACATATATTCAGAAAAGTCTCTAAAGCAAAGTTATATGCTACTGCAAAGCCAATACCTGGGCCTCCACATTCAGGACAGCAAATAGATCTTTACGCTCTTAAACACCATCTGTGCCGTAGCCTCCCAAGTTAATTTTTATGTTGACCTTAAGGTTACCAATTTAATGTTATTAATTTCCTTCTTTATAATTTTAACTTTTTTTAAAAAAGATTTTATTTATTTATTGGAGAGAGAGAGAGAGAATGAGAGAGAGCATGAGAGAGGGAGGGTCAGAGGGAGAAGCAGACTCCCCGCCGAGCAGGAAGCCTGATGAGGGACTCGATCCCAGGACTCCAGGATCATGACCTGAGCCGAAGGCAGTTGCTTAACCAACTGAGCCACCCAGGCACCCTATAATTTTAACTCTTAAGGGTGTATCCCTAACCATGTTTAGTTGGCCATTTTTTGAAGAAATGGAATCATGCCATATGCATCCTAGCCTCCTACAGTCAGCATAATGCTTGTGATATTGAGCCATGTGTGTAGCTGTACTTTGCTCCCTTTCATTGCTTTAAAAGTATTTATCATTTGGCTACTTCTCAATTTTTAAATCTATTCTGTTCATGGACATTTAAGTTGTCTCTAGTTTTGATCTTCATGTCTCTTGGGTGTATACACTTAGACGTGGAACTGCTAGGTACATGTGTCTTTAGCTTTAGTAGATAACGCCAAACTTTCCAGAGTGGTAGAACCGTGCGCTCCCTCCAGCCATTTGATATTTTCCCCATTACTTCATCTCCCTACCAACCATGGTATTTGTCAGGTTTTGAAAGTCTAGCCACTCTGATTAGTGTGCTCTGGTATCGCAGTGTATTTTTAATTTGCATATCTGACTAATTAGGTTGAGTTCCATTTGGCCATCTGGGAAATATTTGTTTAAATCTCTTGCCATATTTTTCTACTGGGTTATCTTCCCCTCCCCCCCGTTGATTATGATTGATACACACACCCACACGTATAAAAATCCTGTGTTGGTTCTATTTGTTGCAAATATTTTCTCTCAGTGTGTGGCTTACGTTTTTACTCTCTTCATGCTATCTGCTGGGAACATAAAGAATTAATCTTTTTTTTTTTTTTAAGATTTTATTTATTTATTTGAGAGAGAGAGAATGAGAGAGAGCACATGAGAGGGGGGAGGGTCAGAGGGAGAAGCAGACTCCCCGCCAAGCAGGGAGCCCGATGCGGGACTCGATCCAGGGACTCCAGGATCATGACCTGAGCCGAAGGCAGTCGCTTAACCAACTGAGCCACCCAGGCGCCCCCATAAAGAATTAATCTTTATGTGATCCAATTTAACAGTCTTTTTCTTCATGGGTATTGCTTATTGTGTCCTATTTATGAAATCTTTTTCTGCCCTATCATATACTTTCCTATATTATGTTCTAGAAGCTTTATTGTTTTGCCTTTTACATTTGCTCTATACTTTACCCGGAATTGATTTTTATGTATTATGTGAGATAGATGTCTAATTTCATTTTATTCCATTGTGGATTTTAAATTGTCCTAGAATCATTTATTGAAAGAGACTGTCCATTCCCCACTGTATAAAATGATATGAAGTGATAAAAATCAATTGTCTGTATATGCATGCATCTGGTAATGAACTCTTTATTTCATTCCATTTGTTCACTTGTTTGTCCTTGTGCCAATTGTCTTAATTGTGTTTTTGTAATAACTCCTGATATCCCGTACAGCAAGTCTTTTTGCCTTGTTCTTCCATAGTAGTGTCTTAGCTATTCTTGGCTCTTTGCATTTCCACCTGTTAGTATCAACTTGTCAAATTACACACACATACTTCACAAAGTTGTGATTTTTACTTGGATTCATTCAATCACTAGAGTAAATTGGGGAGAATTAATGTCTTAAAATGTTGAGACCTCAAATCCATGAATGTGATCTCTCTCTCTAGTTTTTTAGATCCTCTTTATTTTCACTCAATGTAATGTTGTTTTTCTGTGAAGAGGTCTTGCACATTTTTTATGATTTAATCCTAGTATTTTATTGGTTTTCCTACTATTGTAAATAGCATGCTTTACAAACATTTATCTAGCACTCTTATAAAACTATTTATCTCACATCTTTGTAAATCTTTGTAAAATTATTTTATATCAAGGTTAGTAATTCTCACTGTGTATCTAAATTCAGTACTTTAATTACATACTTGTCACTGACCCCCGATAATCTATGGATTTTAGCTTCCAGCAACAAACTAATTTTGGCTAAGTTATACAAAGGAGAATTTACAAGAAGAATGTAGGTGAAATCACAGGTTTCTGGGTTTCTGGAGATCTGTTTTGAAAACAAGTGAGAACCAAAGCTGCCTCAAAGTCCTTAGAGCGTGAACTAAAGTTTGAAAGCATGATGCCCTTGTGACAGTTTTCCTACACCTGTTCTTGCTTATGCTTGTATCTTCTCCTGGGTTGCAATATTCATGGCACAGAGCATTTGCTTTACCAAGCTTAGGTCACTTCCTGATTCTCTTTATGTAAGAAGGGAAATTTGGTCTTTGGGGTTATTTAGTGTAGGGAGCAGTTTCTGAGAATTATCTTTCCACTAATGCTACACACATTGGGAAAGAAAAAGCAGAATATAATTCCTCAAAAGATAATTGGGTGCTTTTAAGAAGAAGGTTTGAATGCTGAGAACAAAACCAACAAATAGTCACTTCTCTTCAGAGGAAGATAATAGATGACAGTTTGTTGTCCATCAGGCAGTTCTTTCTGAAGTTTATTAGTAAATGTTTTACAAAGTATAGTTATATACTGTAATAGGATTTCTGAATCATGATTGTTGTTATTCTCTACCTTCTCCCCCTCCTCCCTTCCTCCCTCTCCCAGCTCCCTCTCCACCTCCTCTTCCTCACTCTCCCTCTCCTCCACCCCCTCCTCTCTCCTCCTCCTTCTTTTCTCTCTTTCTCTATCTATATTCCACTATTATCCCCTATTGATTTTAATCCGTCAAAACATGAAATTGATAACAAAAAGATTTAGTGAAGCATAAGATTAGAGAATTAGGAAGTCAAGTCTTGGTATAACTATTTAAATTTTTTCTTTAGAAATTTGTATTATTAAGCAAACTAAGAGAAATGTACCTTATAACTTAGTTATATGTCCTTAGATATGGACATATAACATTTTATTTATCATCATCATCATCATCATCATTATTATTACAGAGCAATGAAGTTCAGTTGGTTGGTATTTAACCCTTTTTCCATTCTAGAAATGCTCCAAATTCAAGCATGTTACCCACAAAATGAGTAACTTGCTGTGTAGGTGTTTCCAGATGTTTTAGGCTTGGAGTAATGTTTATATATATGCAGGACTAAATGTTACAGTGACATGGTAGTCTACTGTGCTTTAAAGAGACTTCTGAGATCTTTTAGTTCAATCCCTACCTAATGAAGGAACTTGGCCTATATATCTCTGGAATTTATTGTGTAGTATCCATTGAAAGCTTCCTGGGATAAAGAATGGTACTCTTTGAAACAATCTTCTCCATTATTGGACAGTGCTAAAATCACTTTCCCTATCAATTCTTTAAGACTCAGTGACTCTACTTATTTTTGATCTATCCTTTTTCTGAATGTAATTTAAAAATTTTTAAAAATAATTGATGTTTCTTTTTTATAATCGATGTTTCTTTTAAAAAATTTATGCAGGTAGTATAAAATTATATGAAATAAAAAGTGAAAGTTTAGAAGTGTCTTATACCACTAAAGTAATTCTTTCTCTATACAATTTCCACATATCTAAGTTCAGCTTTCTGGAGCAAGAGAATGTGTGTCTGTCTACTCTTTCTTCACATAAAAACACTGCAGGTGTTTGAATACAGCCATCATGTCCTCATTAAGTGTTTTTCTCCCTTTCTTACTGTGCCATATATTTTCAGTTGTTAAGATAAGTATTTTAAGTATATATAAGACATCTTTAAAAGAGAAAATAGAATTGCCTAATGTTTTCATAGAAACACTTGTATGACATTTGTGCGATTTGATTTTATTACCTAAATTCAGGACAGTACTGAATAGGTTTGCTTGACATTCTGAATCATGCTTCAGCTAATACTGAGCTTTTACATGAAACCTCAATATGAATACCTATTGGTACTATTTATATACACATATGGCATTTTTGTTTGGGACACTGACTCAATAAAAAAGAAACATAATTTTGTCATTAAAATGTTACATGTCTGTATTGTTAAAAATTTCTAGATAGTGGAACTGGTAATCATAATTCTCCTTTTAATAAAATAACAGACAAAGATAGCATTACTTTAATTTGTAAAATCACTGCATTGAACGATCTTGAAAGTGCCTGTGTTAGTACATGCATCACCTCTTTAACGAATAAAAGAAGTGTCATTTCAAGGTCACATGCATGTAATATAGTTCCCATGAAAATAATTAATAGCAAATATTATCAACTCTTCTAATTAAGAAAGAGGTTCTTACTGAGAAGACTTAACACAGCAATAGGATGAAGAAAAAAATTAATGTAAGTTCATGATTGTGTCATTGAGATATATTTCTTAATA